CCCTGCAGCCGCCCCGCAGCCGAGAAGGGCTTCCCTGCGCTCCCGTGCCGCGGCCCCTAAGTCGTAGACACTCCCGGAAGCGACGGCCCCAGGACCCCATCCTCGGTTGTGCCACCGCCCCCCTCCCCTCCTCTGTCCCTCATCTTAATACTCTTCGCCCTGTTACTTCTGAACAGTATTAATGTTTACATTTTTAAAGAATTATTTTATTGAATTTTATTATTTATTTAAATTTGACCAGAGAGAGACAGAAAGGGAAAGCGAGAAAGCAAGCCGTCAGGTCCGGGACTCGAACTGTGGTCGACCATGACCATGTGGGGAGTCCAGCACCCTCAACCACCACACCAACTGCTGGCCCCAATGTTTACATTTTAATGCTGTTTTTAATATGCGAAACACTTTCACCCACGTCTGGCTTGATTGGCTCAGAAAGCCTGGGAGAAACAATGGGACATAATTATGCCTATTTTGCAAACGCTGACAGAGCCAAGGTCTTCAGTGAGCTCCAAAGTTAGAGTGTTAAGACTGAGACTTGGTAGGCAGGTGTGACAAAGCCACCTCCACCCGCTTCCTCCCGGATTTCCGCTCCAGGAGGCCAACCTGTCCAGGCTGTTCAGTATCCTCCGGCCTACAGTAGAGGACAAAGCCGAAGAGATCCGGTAAGAGGAGGACACAGATAGGCGGGTATTCCAGGTCCCTCCCCTTCCTGGCGCACAGGTGGGCTCACACATTGCCCGAAGCCTTTAGCAAGCGGCTCTCTTCCTGCAGATTCTCTCCTCATTTTGCTGAATTCTCTCTTCTGACCCGGAGTCCATAATGGTTCCGTTCTTTGGCTGGACTCAGGGGTCAAGTCCGCCACACGTCTGTGCCTAGCCCTTCCTAAACTCCCCTCAGGCTTCCGTCTGCTGGAGCCCTGCTGCTCACCTCCACCCAAGGAAAGTCAGGTTTCTAGCCAGGAAGGAGGGATGGAAGGAGCTAGTGCCCGAGTGCAGAGCCACTGCCACAGTGCGGGCCAGAGGTGACGGGCTGGAATGAGGGTCACGAGGGCAGAGGTGGTAAGAAACTGTAGGCGCCTCGTATTTGAGAGGCAAAACTAGCAAAAGCTGCTGATGACTTAGATGTCAGTTATGAGCAAGGGAGGGTTTGTGAGGAAAGCCCTGGCATCAGGAGCTCAGCCCAGGAGTGGTCATCTGAGAGAGAAGCTGGTGGCTAGCTGGAACCCTGGGTCAGAGGAGGGGCCCAGGGAGAGCCTGCAGAATAGAATACAAAAAGCCACAAAGGAGAACCCAGAACAGCATGCATCTTTCCATGGGGGACCCAGGAAGAGTTGCCATCTTGGATCCATCAACTAGATAGTGAGCCACCCAAGAATAACAATGGCATCTTCCAAGCCTCCCTCTTTTCTTTTTAACTTTTTCAAGCATTGCTTCTTTAATTTTATTTATTATTATTATTATTTTTAATTAGCTATAGGGCACATGTGCTCACCAGAGAAAGAGAAGGAAAATGAGAAAGCAAGCTGATATGTCCAGGACTCGAACCACGGTTGGCCATGTGGGAGTCCATCCTTCTAACCACCACGCCACCTGCTGTGAGGGGCAGCCCCTCCTTCCTCTTTACCGATATGTCTCAAAAGGACACAGCTGACAGTGCGGTGAATAAGGAATTCTGGTGATGAATGAACTTGACACAGTTTCGCGTTTGCAGTACTCCGACCCCGTTCTTAGTCCTTATCGCTGTGAGGGTTAGGTTACGGGCAGAAAGAAGAGAGTGGGAAATCGATCCCTTGTGGCTTGCTCCATTGAAACCTGTGCCAAGGTTGATAAGCTTCCTGCTGTTCTGGAAAACTCAATAGGACCCGTCAGGCGATGCCAGGGACCCTGAGGCGCAGTCTCTTGCCTTTCAGGGAATTTCCAGACAGGCGATTTCATTGCAGAGCTTATGCTGACTCAGGTAGATTTAACAGTAGACACCCTAAACCGTCCCCACTGGGCTGTGCTGAAAGGGATGCAGCAGTAAGAGCTCTCCATCCCCACTCACGCACTACTGAGGGCATGTAAAAACATGCAGTCATTTTGAAAACTGTTTGCTCAAGGTACATCCATCCTATGACCCAGAAATTCCACTGAGATAGAAGGGACCTTCAAAAAGCTCGTGGAAAAATATAATTCAGTATAATATATTTTTTGCACCAAGATAAACTCATATTCTAATTCCATTTTTTGATGAACTTTTTTCTTTTTTTTAAATTGCTAAAGGTGTGTGTGCTTGCCAGAGAGAGAGAGAAAAAAAACCCTACGGAGTGTGGACACCCAGCAAGCCCTGCTTCTCTCCTTCCCCTTCCCATCAGAACCTTTTTTTAAAATTTGCTATCGGGGGTGTGCACTTGCCAGAGAGAGCAGAAGTGAGAAAGCAGCGACTAGGGAGGTGGCCACATCAGAAGCCCTCCTCCATTCCCTTCTGGGGACTTGGGGCACACACACTCAGTATAATTTTCAAGCCGCCAGGTTGGGGACTCAAACCCTGGAGTCAGCCATGTGGGATCTAGCCGTCCTAACCTTCATGCCACCTGCTGGCCTGAACAGAGTTGTTTTTGTTCGTTTTTTAGACAAGTTTTTTTCACTATAGGGCACGTATGCTGGAGTGACAGAAAGTGAGAGATCTCCCCCCCCCTCCCAGGGGTTTGCCATGTTGCAATCCCTTCTCTTCCTTCAGTCTCCTCTTGGGATTTTGGGCATGCACACACTCCCGCCCAGTGTGAGTTTTAAGCCACCTGGTCTGGGACTCGAACCATGGTCAACTACGTGGGAGTCCAGCGACGTAACCATTACACCATCTGCTGGTCCCTAAACAGAGTTTCTTAATGCATTTTTACAAAATGAAATAGCACATGGCATGAGACCTATGAATTCTGACCGTTGGTACTTATATACTCTGCATGTCTCAGAGTGTGGGCTGATCAGTCAGGCAGATCGAACCGTGGACATTCTGATGAGTGAACTTGACCCAGCAGTATAGACCAGTCATCATAAAAGACACGAGGGCGTCAGTACAAAGGGTGTCACTGCGAGTGGGACTTGTAACCTGATCGCCACTCTGCTCCATGCTGTGGGTAGTGGGGGAATGGGTGAAACAGGACAGAACACACCGGACTGCTCACCTGACTCCAGAACCAGAATTTTCTAGCTCTGAAACAAACTTAAGGCAGACCTCCCAGGATGACCTGACCAAGACAGCCGTGGAAGCCTCCCAGCCAGGAAGGTGTGTGAGCGTTTGTTTATCAGCTCTACCCGGCACAGTGCTCCTCCCCCAGAAGACGGAGATGTTAAACATCTTGATTGCCAGGGTGCTATGTCTGATGATTACAATTTTGTTTTGACAGTTTTTTTTCTGAAAAACAACAGCAAAGATGATTAAGAAGAATGAAAAAAAATGTAAAAAGAGAATACACTCTGAAGGCAGTGGTTGCTTTTCTTTTTTTCCTTTCCTTTTCTTTTCTTTTCTTTTTTTTTTTTTTTTTGAGAGGTTTATGCTATAGGGCATGTGCGCTCGCCACCAGACAGACAGAGAGAGACAGAGAGACAGAAAGTGAGAAATCACCCCCTGGGGGGATGGCCACGCCGCAATCCCTTCTCCTCCATTCTCCTCTCGGGATCTTGGGCACGCACGCACACGCACCCGGCGTGAGTTTAAGCCACCAGATCCGGGACTCAAACCATGATCGACTACATGGGAGTCCAGCGACATAGCCATGACGCTAACTGCTGGTTCCCCGATTTAAAACAATTTTAATGGAAGAAAACTTTGTTACTGCAAAAGACATCTGTATGAAGCAGAAATTGGTTGACAGTAGTAGAAAGTGTGTTCTAGAAAGTGGGAGAAGACAGATATAAAATCTGGCAGCGATTGAATAGAACATCACCTGGTGGGTCAGACGGGGCCGATACCGAATGAGCACAGACGCCTGGTCTGTGAGAACTTGGGCTGATACCTGGAGAGATGCCACAGTGCACGTAGACCGCACTGCATTCCTCGCACGAGTGTTGTAAAGTTGCATATAATAACAGATTCTTTCCACATGAGCTTTGATTTCACAGTAGGAGTTGACAGAGAACATGGAAACATGGAAACATGGAAAGAGGATTCATTGTAGGGTGTCTAATTCTTAATATAATAATGCAGACAGTTCAAAATGTTCACATGGTCACTACAGCTAGGACTTTTTGCAACTAAAGCCAGTATGGACAGCATGGCTTCCAGTATCAACATCAAAAAGGCAGCTATTGGGGCCAATGGGTGGTGTAATGGTTGAGGCACTGGACTCCTACATGGCCAACCGTGGTTCAAGTCCTG